TTTTAAGTTGCAAATCAACCCAATATTTCATTTTATTTATTTTATTTTTATGTGGTGCTAAGGATCAAACTCAGTGCCTCACATGTCTAGACAAACACTCTACCACTGAGCCACAACCCCAGCCCAAAGGCTGACTGTATTTTAAAAATGAATTAGAACTGGGCACAGTGGTGCATGCCTGTAAACCCAGCAGCTCTGGAGGTTGAGGCAGGAGGATTGCCAGTTCAAAGCCAGCCTAAGCAACAGTGAGGCACTAAGCAACTCAGAGAGACCCAGTCTCTAAATAAAATACAAAAAAAGGCTGAAGATGTGGCTCAGTGGTCAAGTGCCCCTGAGCTCAATCCCCAGTATCAAAAAAAAAAAAAAAATAGATTGATTTGTTCTGAGAATTTTATATGTAAAATTTACAACTCTCTTTACAATTATAATGTTTATTTTTCTATTGCTCAGCTAAACTGTCTAGTTCTATACTGTCCAATATGGTCACCACTAGCCACATGTGGCTTTCCAAATTTTAATTAATTAAATTTAAAAATTCTGTTCTTCAATTACATTAGGGCTGGTGACTGCCAGGCTGAACAATGCACATAGAATACTTCCATCATGGAAGAAAGTTCATTGGTCAGCACTGGATTAGATTAGTTGTTCTGGAAAATTTAAATTGTCATATATTACATTATATTAAAGCAGGCCATAGCTTTACACAAATTATACTCAGATAACTTTATTAACTTGGACAGTATGGTAACTGAACTGCTTCAAGTTCTAAATTAGTAGAGTTGAGATTAATGAGGAAAACATCATTAATTACTTATATATTCATTATTCAGTTACCTTAACTGTATCTCCTTATAATTTGTTAAAAGCTGGAACAGAAGATAAATGTAGTAATGCCAACCTACCAGTAATAACCTCCACAATTTGAGCAACTACTACAACTCCTGGGTAATATGAAATAAGCCCAAAATGTCTGACTTTTTTTTTCTTTTTCTGTTATCTATCATGCATTATTCATGTTACACAACACCTATATTATTAGGGCCTAAATGTGTGCACATTCCTACAATTATATTTTAATGAAAACAATTGGGAGTTGAGAGTTGTGTCTGAGTTTCTCCCTCCTACCTAACAGTCTGATATACTGTACGTGTCCACATTTTCTATCCATGTATAAAATCTCCATTCCTCTGAGATTTATGCCATTCATCCAGACCTCTATCTAGCTTAATGAAAGAGGGTCACTCTTCCTCACTTATTAAGGACTTTTATATCTAGTTCACAGTCTCATTGTATATATACTCTATGTTCTAACATCATTCTGAGTGACTGCAACACCTACACGGAAGACCCTCCGAACTCAATAGCTTTAAAGTTCTTTGGGCTCCTTCACCTCCACTCAAGGGTAAGTAGGTACTTCCATGGCCACCCTCTCTTTTTGTCGTCATTGAGAATATTCTCACTTGTCATATCTTCTCTGGTCTCCTCAGCTTCTATTTCCCTTCACCCGGTTTTATTTTATTATATACTGTTTCTTTAATTTTTGTGACTTTTTGAAGGCATAGGTCCTTAATTTTCTCTGTTAGCCCTCTTTAGATTTCACTGTCATTCCTAGTTCAAGCCTATGGCTCGACACTTCTATCATTCTCATCAATTCTTCTTGATTTGCTTATTATTGTAATATTGTACTCTTGTCTTTCTCCAATCCATCCTCACCTAAAACATGAATCAAAGGATCTTTCAGTAGTTTATTAATATCTCCAAATGAATATTTCCTCTGTCTAGAATATTTTCATCACTACCTTCTCCTTCTCTGATCAGCTTCAATATGTCTTTCAGATTTCTAGCTTTCTATGAGAAAAAGAGAAAATTCCTAAAATTCTAATTAACCTAAGTGCAAATATATGTTCTTTTATGGTGCCTCATGTACTCTACCATATCACTTATTATAATGTTATTTTCTAAAATTAAATAATTTCTCAGGTCATTATAAGATCCTTGGGGGTACAAGTTATCTTTCTCCCCCTAGAAAGTCTAACATAAACTAGGCATTTAATTATTGAATAATTTTTCACTTGAGAAAATGAAAAAATAATGCTGATAATTTGAAAAGATCATTATAATTGAAGCTACATGTAATTAATCTGAGATCCATATTTAACAGAATGAAGTATGATAAACTAGAGCATGTTAGAAGTCGAGGAAAACAGAGCCAGGTAAGTAGGATTGGAAGTCCCAGGGTTATAAAGAGCAAGGAGGATTAAAATTGTAAGTACATTGTTCTGGCTAGGCCTAATTGAAGAGAGAGTGAGTAAAGATAAAATGAAATACTCAGCCATGTAGGTATTTTAGGAGAAGAGGATATAAGGCAAAGGCAACAGCCAATGTAAAAGCCCCTAAGGTGGGAGTGGTTAAGGAAGGTGAGGAGGAAAATGGTGAGAGATGAGTTCAGAGAAGCAGTGAGGCCAGCTGGTGTAGACCTTGCAGGGCTATGTAAGGACTTTGGATCTGAGTAAAATGAAGAAGGCATTGAAGAGTAAAGGATGACTTGGCTCACTCTGTGTCCTATGTTAAGAACTAGAGGAGACAAGAGTAGTGATAGGAAATCCTCCTAAGAAGCTACTAAAGGAATCAATGAAAGACAGTGGTAACTCAGGCCCCAGTGGTAGCAGCAAAGGTAGTGACAAGTGGTCAGATCTGTGTCATATTTTGTAGGCAAAATCAACAGATTTTCCTGAGGGATTGTATATGGGCTGTGAGACAGAGAAAAGGGTCAAAAGAGACTCTTGAAGGTTTTTTGTTTAAATGGAGTTTGACATCTTTAGATGGGGAACACTGCTGGAGAAACAGGTTTATGGAACTGTAAATAATGCTTGCATCCACTAAATACTAGATGTCTATTAAAAGTCTCTAATCAATAAATGATGGTGGAATATGATGATCATCATTATTCAAAGTACATGTACGAAGACACAAATTGGTGTGAATATACCTTGTTTACAACCACAGAAATGAAAAATTGTGCCCTATATGTGTAATAAGAATTGCAATACATTCTGCTGTCATATATAAATAAACAAAAGTTTTTTAAAAAGTCTCTAATCAGATAGTTACATATGAGCCTGGAATCCATGGAAGAAATTTAGGCTGAAGATAAAAATTTGGGGGTCAAATGGCATATAAATTGTATCAAAAGCACTGAAACTGGATGAGATCATTAAGGAAATGAGTATTGATAGAGCAGAGAAGGTAGCCAAGCACTAACCCCTGGGTACTCTAAGAGTAAGAGAAAAAGAAAAGAGTAAGAAGGAGTAAAGAGAATGAGAAGTAAGCAGCAATGTGAAAGAACAACAAAAAACTTGTAGTGATGGAAACCTAATGAAAGTCGAGGACAATGAAAACTCCAAGGGGAAACACAGAAGTCATCTGTGACTTGACAAAAGCACTCAACAGAATGATGAAGACAGAAACCTGATAAGGGCAATTTTAGAAAAAAAATTAGAAGAGATGGACTGGATTCCATACGTACAGATAAGACTTTCGAGAAATATGTTTCAAAGAAGAGCAAAGAAATGAGAAAACAACTATAGGCTTTGTGGTTTGTTTTTAGATAGAAAGCATGTCTGTATGCTTATGGAAACATCCTAAAGAGAAGATACTGGAACATTCATTGATGTGAAATCACCTAGAAAATAAGACAGAAGTAGGACTAGAGGGCATGAGAGTAAGAGACAGTAGGTTAATAGTCTGATATCATGAAATTCAAAGCTATAGGAAGAAACATGATCTTGAAGGAATGGTAAAATATTTGATCCATTTACATGTCAAAGATATTCAGTCCATTTTTAAGCCCAGTCATCAGAGAAAAGGAAGAAAACAGAAGCTTTCAGTTTGGAATCTATAATAGAAGCAGCAGATTCAAAGGAGAGTGGTTTTTTATTGCAGCAAGAAGGTGAAGGAAAGAAAAACCAGAAAAGTCAGGGTATAAGAGATTTTGCTGGTGATAAATCTGCAGGGTACAGAAAAGTTTTAGTAGTTTGGCAGGGATAGGAAAAGGAACATAAGAGGTAATATGTAGAGTCTTATGGGATTCAATGGCAAGAGATGAGGAATGATGTGGGAGCCTCTTGGGGTGACAAACATAAACTGGGTTGAAGAACATAATAAGATTGATCCTGGTGGACTAAAGAAAGATAGTGGCAGTCAAGTTTTGAGTGTTGTGGGGCTGGGCAGCTCAGGCTGTGTGTAGCTCTCTTTCCATGCCTACTGGGGAAGAATGTATTTGCTCCTACTGCTAGAGCTCCCCTTTGACACTTGTTGACAGTATTGATGGAATTTAGGCCAGCTCCATTCATGATTAACCATTTAGGAAATTCATGTGACCCTCATGCACATGAATTTCTGATCAAACAGCTTACAATTTAAAATATTTCCTTGCTCTAGGGGAAAAGTAAGCTAATTTTTCATAGCAGAGTTTGGTTTTACTTACATCTGTGTTACAGGAGCGATACCGTTTCCTTTCCCCAAGGCAATATTTTCCACCTCCTGAAGGTCTGAAAAAACATTTTAGCATGTGAATATATCTCTCCAATAAAGAATACATATATTGATTAATGAAAATATTAAAATTTACTTTAAAATGCCAATGTGATTATTTTATTATTAAAATAACACGCTAGTAGTTATTAGCAAAATTATGGTTGAACATAAAAATTAAGTTAGTTTACTATGAGTAATGTATAAGATTTAATTGTCATGACTTACATACTTAAGAAAATATAATTAATATATTTTCTAATTATAGTATAGTATCTAGTACAATATAATGAATTTAAAAATAATTTATTTGTAATTAAAAGCCAGTTAAGTCATATTCAACAAAACTCATAATCTGATGCTATATGCTTACCAGGTAGGAGAGAAAAGTTTTTTTTTTTCTTCCATATGGAAAGCAAAGAGAGGACACTAAACAACTTTCTGGAAATAGCACCAATTCAAAATAAATAATGCAGAAATTAATTCCATCTCATTTCAAATATTATATGAAGTTAAAAATTAAACCCCTAAATCAGATGGCTTTGCATTATATAAATTTTTATATATATTCAAATTAAAGAAAGAGTAGAATGTTAAATATTTCATTTACATAAGTTAATCTTAAATAGTTTATATTAGGGAAAGCCATATGCTATTGTTTGAGAATTCTATTATTGAGGGGAAACAACTTTTTCTTTTAAAAGAGGTCCAGGTATTCCCTTACATATCTGGCTATATTATTTGTTGTATTATTTTACTTTTTGGGTTATTAATTTATAGCAGTTTACTGTTTAATTTAGGTTAATTATTCTGTACTATCTTAGGATATATGGGATAATCAAATCTATATTTTTAATATATTTTGAATGCCAGTGAATACTGACTCTAATGAAACAAAGGAAATTGCTCAGCTTGAATCAAGCTTGAGAGAGGTTGGCTGGTCAGACAAAAAGAAGGTAGTGGGGATAATGGTAGTAAGAACTGGTTTATGAATGCATAACAGGAAGCTCTATTTAGCGGGAAGGTAATTATTGATAGAAAGTGGGAGAATGAAAACACAGAACTAACATGAAGGGAAAAAAATTCAAGCTAAAAAGAAGAAAAGACACATTTGGAGAGAGATTCCAAAGAGAAATATTGTGAGTTAAAGTGAGAACAAATAGAAAATAAAAATAGATAAGCTTTTATCCCAGAGGGGTAAAAAAAAGTTATCATAATTTCCTACATCAAATTTTACTAGCCAGGAAAGAAGGCATTCAGCCTCAGTTCTAGACAAAAATGGGCACTTGACATGCAGCAGCTAAGGAGTGGTTTAGTCTGGGGGAGGACAGGAAAGTACAACTAAAGGAACAGTTCACCTGTAATGGGCATTGGTGGGAGGGAGACGCAATAGAGCTAGAAAATAACACTAACAAGGCTGGCCTTGTGCCAGGGCAACTCTGGCTGGAGAAAAGAGTAGTGGGAGAGGAGCAGGTTGACCTGCATAAAACAGTCATGGGGAGAAAAGTTGTGGCAGCTCTAGAAGATGATTAATGGGGGCATGTGAATGGAAACTATTTTAACACATGGGCAGTATTCTTTTCATTGTGATTTGTGGTGCGAATCAAGGCATTTCAACCCTTGAAGTGCTCTCATTGGTCCTTTTAATACTAATGTAGCAGTAATAATTTTATGTGACATGTGAAAAGACCTTAGGTTTCCTGGGAATAATGGTAATGTAGCAAAAACCAGACCTGGATTCATCCATAATTCAGTAGTTTTTGTAGGAGGAAATCTATCTGATTATTACTAGATTAAAAGTCTGGCTTATCTAGGACAGATACACAATGCTTTTCTATTTTAAAAATTTTTATTTTTAGTTATACAATAAGAGGAAAAGAAGAAAAAGAAAGTCTATTTAACAAAGCTCCTCCACTTTCCTGTGCCTATTGCTTGTTCTGAAGACAAGCATTTGGCTCACTAGAGAAACGTTTTTACAGATAACATGTGAAACCACAGCTTTGAATCATTTCCAACTGTGTCTTTTTGTTGGCTCTGGCTTACTTTAGCTACTTACGCTGGACTGTCACAGTGTCTTAGGGATGAGGAGACGCCTCCCCCGCAGGTTCTGCTGCACTCTCCCCACAGTGACCAGGGACCCCAGCCCCCATCTATGCTCTGGGGCCAAGTGCCAAAAGGAACACAATCTCCCTGATAACACCACTGTAAGATTTCACAGAAAACACATAATTAGCTTTTAGGCAGATAGAACTATCAGGACAGAAATACAAAAGGATCAGGTAATGACCAATTTTAGGCATTAGCATTCTCAAAACAGATAACACATAAATAGTTCTTTAACTTGTTTAGACTTAGTAAAGGTGCATGTGATTTGAAAATTATCTTTAGCTATGCCATGATTTATAAATCTCTAACAAGTACCAGGAGTTCTAAAAAAACCTGACTTTGCCTTTTTTCCTTGTTTCTCCTCCTCCAGACTTTCAGTGTTTCTCATTATGGACCTAGCTAGCTACAGACCTCAAAGTCTTTTTTAGATATTTTAGTATTTTCTAAAAATTTTTTCTTTATATTCCACTATTATTAGACTCATGGAATGATAACGCAATGTGGAAAGTTCCCCAGTAAGGAATTTTTATGATAGTAATTGCTCTTTCCTTAAAAAAAAAAAATTTAAAAAATGAGTTGAGGCTACAATAGTAAAAGAATGTGTTGTGGCATTTCATCTACATGAGTACTGCAGACATAATAAAAGTAATGCCAAGACACTAGGGACTGGGTACAAAAAAACCCTTATATACACTCACTAGCCATGTGCATGGCCCCTGCATGAACATGTGTACTAGAATTCTGTTCAGCTTTACTCTCTGCAATAAACCACACACACTGCACCTAAGTAGAAAGCCAGAAATAATTTATCGAGACACAGACATCACATAATCAGCTCATAACTCTAGCATGATAAATCTTATTTGAAGAACATGGCAAAATAAAAGTCTTTTTTTTTGTAAACCAAGCTTTTGTAGCTTTTATTGGTACATTTTTCTGAATTATCAAACTTTGACAAATCAAACTGATGCTATGAAAGTTATTTATTTTTATGAATAACAAGAAGGAAAATGGTTATTAGAGTAGAATAAATGTCAACAATGTTGGAAGGTTTAAACAAAAATTCAACCTTATAAAGTCCCTTATAAAGGGACTATATGACACGTGATGCTTAAAAAGCCATTAGTTCATTATGCTAATTCCATCACCAAGTTTGTTGTTTTACCTCCAAGAAATATCTAGAGTTTATTAACTTTTCACCTTCACTGCTAACGCCCTAGATCAATTGGCAAATGAAGTAGCCTCTTAACTGGTCACTTTAACTCCATTTTTTCTTACTAGAATTATTTTCCAGAAACCATTCAAAGATACCTTTTAAAACCACATTATCACATCATGTTGTCAGGGTGCGGGGGGGGGGGCGCTTAAAATACTTCAATGTTTTCCTACTTTCCTTAACATTGGACAACAGTGGACTTAGTGATCTGGCCCTTCCTTTTTCTTCGGTCTCCATCTGTCCTGTGCACTAATTGCTCCAGAACATGTTGACTTTTTCTTTTTCTTTTCTTCTTTTTTTTCCTTTTGGTACTGGGGATTGAACTCAGGGGCACTTAACCACTGAGCCACATCCTCAGCCCTTTTTCATAGTTTATTTAGAGACACGGTCTCACTGAGTTGCTTTAGGGCCTGGCTAAGTTGCTATGGCTGGCTTTGAACTTAATATCCTCTGCCTCAGCCTCCCAAGCTGCTGGGATTACAGGCGTGCGCCATCGCGCCCAGCTGATTGTCTTTTTCTTAATAAACAAATCTTATTCTTTCTTTAGTGCATCTGCATTTGCTGGTCTTGGTAATGCTCTCCTCTACGTTTCTTGTATTGCTGTCTTCTTTTCATTCAGTCTTAGGTCAAGTGTGATTTCAACAGAGAGCTCTCTCTCCTTGACCACCTTTATTTCTGCCACATCCTGCCCTATGCCCTCCAGTGCCAGAATGCAATAGTGATTCTCCCATTTTAGTTCTTTTTTACCTTTTAACACTACTTCAAATTAGCTATCTTTCAAATTACTACTTTGTTTTCTTCTTCTCCTTAGAAAGTAAGAGGCTTGATAGGGACATATGGCCATTTAAATTAATTAAAAGAAATAATTCAGTTCTTCAGCTCCATTAGCCACATTTCAAGAGTAGTATAGTCATGTGTGCCTAGTGGTGACTATGTTGGACACAGCATATACATTTCCATCATTACAGAAGGTTTTATTGGTAATGATGAATGCCTAAAATAGAGCTTGGCAACTAAAAGGCATGCGATAAAATTTTCTTAAATGAATAAGTCATAAGTTAAATTATAGAATTCTGTGTCACATTTTGGTTGCATGTCGGAAAGAAAACTAGAGATACCTTGTTTTCTTTGATATAAGGAGGCTGATTCATAGTGGGATAGGGAGCGGGAGCATGGGAAGAATAGACGAACTCTAGATAGGGGAGAGGGGCTGGAGGGGAAGGGAGGGGGAATGGGGTTATTAATGATGGTGGAATGTGATGATCATTATTATCCAAAGTATAGGTATGAAGACACGAATTGGTGTGAATATACTATGTATACAACCAGAGATATGAAAAATCGTGCTCTATATGTGTAATAAGAATTGTAATGCATTCTGCTGTCATCTATAAAATAAATAAATAGGCAAAAAAAAACTATAGTGAAAGAATATGATTTTTAATTTAATGTATTGATTGGGTTTTCAGTGCAGGAATGAGTCCCTGAAGCTACAAGTGTGCCTAGGGCCAAAGAGTCATGGTGGGTCCCTGCAAAGGGCAGAGGGCCACAGGTTCTGTTCCAATTCCCCAGCCTCAGGAAGGCTCAGCCTTTGACAAGTAGCACAGGGAGATGCCAAGTGCTTTGGTATGAGCTGGCAAATGCACCAGGAAGAGAAGGAGGGATCTCTTGACTTGACCTCCATTTAACTGTACTATGACATCTTGTCTTAACTAATCTTTATATTATTTAAAAGTTTGACTTTTAGTAATATTCAGAATCTTTTCCATCCATTTCATAATTTAATAAACTTCTTATTTGAATTTTAAAAAATACAGTCAAATTCATATGTATTTCCCTGGTAGCAGGTGTAAAAGCTCTATTTCCAAAGGCAGGCAAATGGATGGAGTTGGAGAATATTATGCTAAGCGAAGTAAGCCAATCCTAAAAAAAAAAACAAATGCTGAATGTTTTCTCTGATATGAGGATGCTGATCCATAATGGGGATGGGGAGGGAGCATGGGAGGAAAGGAGGAACTGTAGGTAGGGCAAAGGGGATGAAGGGGGAGAGAGGAGGGATGGGGGTTGGAAAAATGGTGGAATGAGATGGACATCATTACCCTAAATACATGTATGAAGACATGAATGATGTGACTCTACTTTATGTACAACCAGAGACATGAAAAATTGTGCTTTATATGTGTAATTTGAATTGAAATGCAGTCTGCTGTCATGTATAACAAATTAGAATAAAAAGAAAAAAACATAAGATCTTAAAAATGCTGTGCATTAAAAAAAAGAAGCTCAGTGATACACCCACATCTTTTTTCAGATCTCCTTGAAGAAATCCATGATAAATAGAGAAAATTTCCATTTTTTTCAATTTTTAGGGAAGAAAGGAATTATGAGGGCTGCAATAATATTGAAAATCGTAGGTTCCAAAAGTTGTAGGTTCCATATGTTCTTAGTATGCTTGCAAAATGCAGGGAAGTGAGAAAAGTCACATAAATCTTCTTGTTTTCCTTTTAAATCTAATTCTTGGGCAAGGGAGTATAGCTTAGAGGTAGGGTTGGCACCTAGCATGCACAAGCCCCAGCACCAATTTTTTTTTTAAAATAAAATAAAGCTTACTCTTAAGATAAAAGATAAATACACTATTCAGTTTCTTAAATGCTGCTCAGTTCTCATGGTTAATTAGTATCTACACAGTCATGGTATTTAATAAATGATTTGCTAGAACTTTAACTGCATAAATTCATGCTTTAATTATATATATTTCATGGACATATTAGACATACCAGAAAGTTAAACAACAAATATTAATGGATAAAAATCACAGTAATAATGTAAAATCAGTTATTAAGCAGTTGATAAAAGACACGTCTCACTTGAATAACTAGTTAAAATTGTTAACTAGTTTACAAACTAACAACTTCAGTCTGTGTAGGAAACTTTATATTATGAATCTCAGTTCTCATTCAAGCCATATTTTAGGGTCCAAAGCAAATCACTGGCTTTCTTTTCCTTTGTTTCCATAAATATATAATGGAAACTAGTTTTAGTATTTGATTCCAATGTGATTTAAATTAGAAGAACCTTAAAAATTAGTTCAATGCAGATATACATTCAAAGAAGTTAAAATCAATCAAACAACTTGTTTAATTTTGATCTCTGGCAGAAGTATGCTTTTGAATTTTGTTTTGTTTTCCCTCTTTCTATTTATGGGAACAAAATCTTCTTGGAATTCTCACATAAGATTTGAGCTACTTTACTAGATGTTTCATTAATCAATATAGATATAAAATTTTTAATGTATGTAAATCATGAATACAATAATTAGATTATATCAACGAATCAACTGAAGTATATAAATCCTATTAAGTACGGAAAGGTAAAATTTTTGAGTCCTATCATCTATTTTTATTCTTTCTTTTACATGGAGTTGCCATACCTGTAAAAGCTCTATTTCCAAAAGCATAGTCTTATTTCATTTTTTTAACTAGGAAAGTTAAATATGCAGATGCAAACCAGTTTCTAATCTTTATTCTCAAAGGTAATATCTAATCTAGTAATTTTGGACTGTTCTAAATAACAGTCTTATCACTTCAGTCTAAATTATGCAGACAAATTGGATAAATTTGGCCTTCCTTTTGCTAATTCAGGTGTGTTTAACCAAATTCACAAAGGTGAAAGAAATGAAACTAATGCATTCCAAGAATAAAATCTCATGTTGTTTATCCTTACTTTTCACATTCCATCTAAATTAAATAAATGTGTTTTAAACATTATCTAGAAAAGTTAGCACATTCCACTGAAGCTTTGAAAAGCTTCTTAAGAAACACCTTTCATTACTAAACAACATCTCTTGCTATTGGGTTACTAAATTTCATGAGCTATACAAAAAAACTGACTTTAAGCAAGATATATTATAAATTTAACCATCTACCTTTGAGAATTGGTCAGAATTTTACAAAAGAAATTTAAGGTATATATAGTATTTTTAAATAACTTTTTAAAACTAGAACCATTTTAGGAGGTGATTAAGGTATATCTTATAATAGCCAGAACTGGGTCCAGTCAGCATCTGGAATGAGAGACCTCTAAGGAAATCCTAAGGTTTTAAAGGAAATGATATTGGTGATTCAATTCAGAACATTCTTTCCAAGTCAGAGTGCTGAGGGCTGGAGCACTACACTATTAAAAGCCTTATCTTTCCATTATGCAGGTGTGGGAATGTTCAAGCTACAATTCAGCCCAAATTCTAAATCAGAACTTGTCATCCCATACTATTTAAATTTATAAAGCAAATGGAAGAGCTACTCTTTCTTCACTTCCTGTGTTTATAGTTAGGCGTCCAGTCAAAACATATTATATTCTACTCTAAGTGAATTAAGGTCTAAGACTACAAATGTGCTATTTTATATCTAGCGCTTTAGAAGCCCATGTAATAATCCCATTCTAATCCACCCCTATGTTACCCATGCAAAGATATTAGGAATCAATGTCACTTATATGTAAGCCCAAATGCTGGACTATATCTCTAATTGGGTCTTATAGAATCATTAAATCTATCTTTTGGCAATAAACCAAGTATTTGAAATCTTCTTTGTGGTCACCAGCAGGGATTACAAGGATTGGGCTTTGATTATCCTTAATATCCTGTTTGGTAACAATGCCAACACTACTACTGAAGTTTTTACAATCTAAATCCTTATTTACTATTTCATCAATTATGGCATCCCTCTGATTCCTGTCCAAGGGCTATTACTGATGCTATACCCAAGGAAAGTTCTCTGGCTGAAAGTTATATTGATTGATTTGTAGGAGACTGACCCATGGACACACAGTACCAGCGCACTGTCTGGGCTCATCAAATTTCCTCCTTTGGTTAATGCTACTGTCCCTGAGCACATCCATTCAGACCATATGGTTCTTATTCAATCCTTGAATGGCTTATTCAGGCAAACATCCAATGGCTGTAATAGCGATGTCAGACCCCCCAGGACTCACGCAAAGATCAGTTTTTAATTTTTTGGCCATATTTCTTACTCCATCTGCTAAATGTGCATGGAACAGTTCCCATACTTACATGGAACATTTGTGGAACTGCGCCCCCGGGCAGGGATCCCATATTTTTGCAGCCAGAATTTGACGAGATCATCATGCATCCACTCCTCTGGATATGTCTATGCTATCACTCAAGCAATATTTCTACCCCCTCCCTTTTTAAGAAGATTTATTCAGAAAACTATGAGCAACTTTGGTTTTATTCTTCTGGCTAGACAGGGTGTAGGTTCTTTCTCGTCTCTTCTAAAGAAAGCAGTTTCGAAACTCAGTTAAGATCAGAGGCTGTAGATATTCCATTTATGTCTCTGAGAGATAAACTAATCCTTGTACTCTGATGCTCATTGCTACTAGTTGAGAGGGTCTGGCACAGAATTGTCTGCCCATCATCATTTAAGGTTAGAAAATTATAATGAAAAGTATGATGATAATTTAGCAATAGATACCATCTTCCCTCAAAGGAAAATCACAAAAAGCTCATTGATATATTATCTCAATCCATCTTCACAATATCACTATAAAATATGTTGAAATCAGTTTTCTCTTATTTTAAAGATTCCACTATTTTTCCAATTGTCACACAATCATATATTTTTAGCTCAATGTTTTACCCATACTGCCTTTTTATTGTGCCTACTCAGTTAAGAAACTGTTACCAGTAGAAAAATTAAAAATCCATTTAGTATTAAAGGATAAAAATATACTGTCACCACCTATCTCAGTCTTAGTGAACCACTTTATTCCTGTAACAACAAAAATTAACTTTTTCCTATGCAAAATTTCTCACTGGAAGATAAAGTAAAATTAGAGGCAGTAGAGAGGGAGAAAGATTTTAACTCCCAAATCAGAAAACCTGGGCTGGAATCTCAGCTATGCTGGTAAATAGTAGTATAATTTGGACTCTCAAGTCTTACTTTTCTCATCTGTAAAACAGAGTTAAAACAGTACCTAACTTATAGGATTTTTGTTAACCTTAAACAGATAAATGGTTGTGAAGCACCTAGTGATATGTGTCTGGCATAGTGTAAGTACTTTAAAAATATTTATTACCATTGTCATTATTGTTACTGGGAATGCCAACTATTTTTAGATGACAGGTTCACAGATTAACCACACAGAGTTGATCAAATCAATTGAAAATTCCAGTTTGATCGTGTCACTAGCTCTTCTCATGTGTTTAAGTCAAAATTCTAAATTCTGGTTTAACTTCATAGTAATAAGTATAAAATCTGCATTCAGCAACAATAAACATGCTTCTTTCTCTTAAGAAAAGATATAATAAGAACTAAACAATAAAAATTCATATAGAAAATAACAGTAAATTCAGTTAATAAAAATAAAAGTTCAGCTCATGTGTCTAGTTCTTTTTATTAATATAGATAGATTCAGTTCTCTGAAAGCCCTTCATAAATTTAATTTTTCAATGTTTTGTTCTCTTTTGTTTTATTTTTGTACCAGGGATTGAACTCAGGGGCACTCAACCATGGAGCCCCATCCCAGCCCTATTTTGCATTTTATTTAGAGACAGGGTCTACTGAGTTGCTTAGCACCTCGTTTTTGCTGAAGTTGGCTTTGAACCCCGTACCTGCTGTCTCAGCTTCCGGAGCTGCTGAGGTCACAGGCATATGTCCTGCATAAATTCAGTTTTTATGGATGCTTTGAGAGTCTTCTTTTTCCTCTATTCTTTCTAGGAATCTATGTTTGTATTTTTTTTTTTTCCATAGGTTCGTTTATTCTAAGACTTGTTCCTATCATTCCTAAAACTGCCTACCTGCATGTTTTGGGAAGAATGACCCGGATTTGTCTTGTAGATTAATTTTAGATGGTGATGTCCAATGTATTGACCTTATAATAGTACAGTGTTGGATTGTGAGTAAAAATGGCGCATTGCTCTGAGCAGTTTAGCAAGATCCTGTCTCTAAATAAAATATAAAAAAGGGCTAGGGATGTGGCTCAGTGGTTAAGTGCCCCTCGATCAAAATCTTATACAAAAAAAAAAAGATGCTTTGACACACAAACCTACAAGGCCCTCAAGTAGTTTTTTAGGGAGCCCAAGTTGTTCTTTGTAGGTATGTTAGGAGTGACAGGGTAAATTAAATTTCTGCATTCAGCAACAATAAACACGTCACCAGCTATCTCAGGCTTAGTGAACCACTTTATTCCTGTGACAACAAAAAATAACTTTTTCCTATGCAAAATTTCTCACTGGAAGATAAAGTAAAATTAGAGGCATAGACAGGGTAAATTAAATTTCCCCTCTATTTGATTTTCTAAATTTAAATTCAATACTGTTAGCTTTAATATTAGTTGAGGTAAGTATTCCTCAAAATCATAATTTCTAAGAAATATGCCAACTTTTTCATATATATGCAGATAGCTGTAAGGTCTGAGATTTAAGGGCCCTTCCAAATAGCCACTATTTATGGTTTAATTACTGAAGTGATTATATAATATATAGAATGCTTCTAGAAGGGCTTTGAGGTGTTTAAAAGCAAAAATTCTTTATGCTTTGGGTTAAAAATATACATCAAAATTGGAAGCAGATAATGATAGTGATAGTATCATTCTAGGTGAATAGAAACTATAACCCAGGGACTAGTCATTAGAATAATTATCAATGACAGATAAATAGATTCTCAATGTGTGATTGCCCCTTTACAATTGAGTATTTCTTCTAAGTACAAATTGATATAAATTGCTACTTGTCGTTGACAAGAATTGTTGGTTCCAAAATAAATCTAGACTGTTGTTTTAAGAAAGCAGTTCCTAATATTTTCTATTACTTCAGCGAAAAAAAAAAAAAAGAAGAAGAAATTTTTGGTAGTGTGAGAAGGTCTCTGTATTTTTATTGGCTACTTACAAATTCTGAAAAAAAACCCCATAATCCTTTTTAAATGACCCTATCAATTCATATATTTAGCATAATTTACCAACATTTCCAAACCCAGCAATGGAAAAGCCATCACCATGGCACTAGGTCATGGGTCCTGAATGAAGCCATCAACAAGAATTAATACACTGTGACAGCTGCCCAAAAGCTTTCATTCTTTTTATTTAAACATCCCATTGCAAGCTGAAATTCAGTGTAACCTTTGTTGAAAGTAGCCCAGCTAACATGCAAGAATTCAGAACTGAGAACAGATGACAAGTAGTAGTTATTATTGTAAATTCAGTCCATAGCAATAAATTCTAGAATTTACATACATAACTATTTCTAAGCATTTCAGGAGTAGCATACAACTATTCTTGTCTATTTGAACAATTCTTAATGACATTTTAAAAATTAAACTGATGGAACTAAAATTATTTAGCTCTGATTTCTGTGCTCAATAAATTATTTGACTAAGTCCCTTTGCTTATACTGCAATGTAAAAGTGACTTTAATTAGTCTATGAAGTCTATTTTGGGGTCATGTAATTTTTTCCTAGGAATTACTTACCAGAAAAAATTATGTAAGATTTTTTTGACACAAATAAAACTCATACAAACAGGTAAAACTGACACAGAAAATAGTTACGCATTGCAATTCCTAAAGGATGCATATTTGCTGATATCAATTAACTACTGAACTAGGAATTTAATATTTTAAAGTGCATTTTAAATTACAAGATTTTCTAATGATTGATTATTATCATCGAAATTTATCAGCTAATAATCTACATATGAAACAGTTAGAAAGTCACTTAAGCTTACCCCCTTTTCAATATTCCCCGTTTGACAGAGCGTCCCCTCAGCTGCTGGAATACTGTTGGTGACACAGCGGTTGCTTTTGCTGAGGCACCAGAGCTCTCTACACACTTCCTAGGAAAGAAGGCAAAGCAAGTTGATCAGAAATAGAAATTAAAATTGTGGCCAATTGTTCCATAAAACACACTCACATTCAGTATTATAGAAAAGAGAACCTAGGTCTCATGCTGCTGTCAAAGCATCAGAGATAGGATCTTATGTAAGACGGGTTACCCTTTTCACAGAATCACTTAAACATTTGTCTTTATAATTCTCATTTTAGTGGATAAATTATGTCTTAGCTTTTAACACTGATTAGGATCTTTTCACAACATGCACAACAATTTCATTAATACAGAAGACATAATAATAAAGAGAGGAAATCCATGTTTATTACATTCATACAAGAACATACAATAGCACAAACTTACCAATTACTAATAAAGTATTGCAAGGGAAATGACTTCCTAGACTTACTGTAATAGGCAAACAAAGACAACTTTAAAATGACAAAGGGACACACATATATCATGAGATGGATACAAATTTAATATATGTGAAGTAATATGATGTATGTTGGAATAATTTCTAAAGTTCAGATAAGAGCAATTTAGAAATGTTATTTTCAGTCTGTCAATGTCGTCTACCTCCATGAAAAGAATACCTGGTTTTGAACAAATGCTGCCATTTATAGCATGTTTCAGATGCTACTTGAAGCTGTCAGAATTTTCTATGACGAGAGCATTTGTACCTTGGTGCTTAAGTTTTAGGAACCAATTGGGCCTGCTAAGAAGGTCAATTCCCCCAAAGTCTCATTAAAATCGAACTCGTAATCTTTTTCAGAAAACTCCCTTGAAGTATACAGGTTCCCCCTTGATGCTATCAGATCTAATTTATTATGATTTATCTTCTCATTACCTCAGTATAGATTTACAATACCTGTTCTAACATTATCAATATAAAATACTTCATTTGGGGGCTGGGGTTGTGGCTTAGTAATAGAGTACTCGCTTAGTGCAGATGAGGCACTGGGTTCGATCTTATGTACCACATAAAAATAAATAAATAAAAATAAAGGCATTGTGTCCTCATACATTTAAAAAATACTTCATTTTGCTTGTGCTATGTTGATTCTAAAATAAGCATATAAACATTATCCCTGAGTAAGAGTTTTAACAGCTCAAACCAGATTGTTTTGGAAGAAAATACTAAAAAAATTCAGTTTCTTTTATATATAATCATCAAGTAGCATCACTGCTGATATAACAAGTTTTTAATTTAAACTAGAACTATGTAGTATAATGTGTGTTTGCAATAAAAATATGATAATCTGGATACAGCGATAAACTAATAAGGAATACGTAATCTTTTTGCTCATTTTTAACTCTTTTTAACTCTCAAAACACAATTTTAAGAACACAGTTTTAAGCTCCTAAATATATTTAGTTAATATTTAAAAAGCAATAGGAGTAATATTTAAGTGGCTTTAAAATACTGCCCCATGTAGCAAAAGTTTATCCAAATTCAAAAAACAATGAATTCACAAAAACAGAGAAGCATTAATAGAACAGAATACATATAGAGATCATGAAATTGTTTCATCCATAAATTTGTTTCTAAACAAGACTTCTGATCTCTTATGATCCTTATCTGGCCTAAATCTTACTTTGACAAAGTAAAAGAAATCTAAAGTTTATTTTACACAGAATTAGGCAATGAAAATTCTTTATTGAAAAGGACTATACTCACAGCATCTCTCAAAAAACATACAATTTAGTTTTCAAAAGTATCTTGGAAATCTCTACCCAAAATGGCAAGTGCTTTAGAAATTTTTTTCAAAACCTAAATTTCGAGATTCAGGAAAAAGCCCTCTTAATGCTAAGAGAATGATGCCTTTTGAAGTAGTCCAACAGAAGTTTGTTACCTTTGTGAGTTCCTGAAGGCTGGAATTTTGCTAGAGCATTAACTTCTTATAGATCACTAAATAAAGCATGGCACTGGAAGTCTAACTCAAGATGTTAAACTAGTCACAGAGAAGGAGCTAAAGAGTTTTCAAATAGATCTCACAACTGGAATCTCAGCTTCAGTAAGAAAGATTTTGATATTCAATTTAGGAAGATTTCCACGTTTAGAAAAAAGAAAAGCAACAAATGATGCTCTCTTGAACAATAAAAAGCAAGATAAATTCATTCATTTCATTAAGAACAACTTCACACTTTCAGAATGTCCTTCTTCCTCTAAACTGCTGAATTCTGGAATGTACATGATATATTTACATAGATAGATCAATTTCTTTTCACTTGCATATAAGTTGCTGAATAAGCACCCTGATACAAGTTCCAAGTTCTAATAGTTAAATGCAAGTTGAAATTTTTTGCCTCTTGGAAAATATTTATAAAAACCAAAGTCGCAGGTAGATCAATTTCCCTAAATAAAATGCAGAGGTGAGGATAGATAGTAGGAAGTAATGATATTTTCTTTTTTTTTTTTTTTTACTCACCGCCTTCGGTTTAGCTTTAAAACATAGTTTTCTTTCACATATTTGTGATTCCTGACAGAAAGAGATAAGATTAAGACTAATTTCATGACCTTTATGAACTAAAAAATCATTGTGTGTTAGGGTCCCCTTTATGATTCTAAACTGTATTTTGGGAAGACTCTCTAGGGGAAATTTGGTGCTGTGCTTTGAGTTTAACACATTGTTACAAATTTTCAATTCTATGGGGCATGATGATGGGTTAAGGAAGGACAGAGAAGTTATCATCAGCTCCACTAAGAGTCATTTTTGTTATGTGGCAGTGGAAATTTGAAATGGAATCTAATTTCATGGAGTCAACTTCTAACCACTTAGGAGGGTTGCCTGATAATGCAAAAGTAATAGCAATTTGCCCCTTTCATTTAAGAATATTTATTGAGAATCTACTATGCACCCATCGCTACATTAATGTTATGAAAAAATACTACCACTTAAAATTCATAGGAACCAGAGAGAAAAGTTAGGGAGGGTATAATCAGATATGTAACCATGGATTGGTTTGCTTTATGATAATTTTTTAATTTCTATGACAAAATTAGAAGAATGATATCAATATAATCCTTATATTTCATGACACTAAATTTTTTATTCTAATGGGCTTTAATGAAGTTTTATTCCTTTTACTCTTTAGATATTACAGTAGATTGTAAGTAAGATTGCTGAGGACAGGGTCTGTTTCCTTAGGACAGCCTTTATAAAATGTTCCTTTTTGGCAAAATTAAAAGTTGGCATCCCCATTTTGGTGTGCCAGTATTTTAAGAGAAATTTTCCTTGTCTATAAAAACCTAAAAGTTGGTGAACCATCCACTTGTACAAGACTTGTTAGCCAATGTTTATTTAGATACATCTGTGTCTACCAATGCTTTTAATAAAAATTGTTTTTTAATGCCTACAATTAATTATCTTCTGAAAACAATTTCTTCTTGACATACATTCTTTATAATATTTTAGCAAGGGATCTTTTTTCTTATTTTTCTGAAAGTACATTTATTTATCTTCATTTGGACAATATTTTAATTGAATATCCAATACCTCAGCCTTTAAAAGTATTAAGTCCATTGTCATCTGACCTCCACAGGGGCCAGACCTGTTAGTCTACCAGCTGTCTTTTGTAGGAGTCTTTCCAGGTGCTTTCAAGAATTCCTTTTGTGCTGTTTCGCCACATATCTAAGTATTTTGTTTTAATCTACTTGGACTCATGCTATGAAGATTTGTATTTTCCTTTGACTCTGATTTTTTTAAATGTGTCTCTTTCCTAGACTTTCCATTCTTTGTTTGTTTTTGTTTTTATTTTGAAGCTCCTATTTAGCTAATTTTGGACCTTTTTTACCTTCTCATTTTAGCCACCTTGGCTCTTATTCTCTTTTTTCAACATTTTTTTTTTTAATCTTGGGCATTAATTGTCAATTTCATGGTAGATTGTTTCCTCATTTATTATTTTTTATTCCAGCTTATCTTCAGTGAAAAATTTTTTATTATTACTTCAGCATCTTCTGTAGAAATATAGTCACATACATTTGCTTATATCATATATCCCAAGGTTTTCATGTTGACTTATTTGGTCAGCACTATGTTGTCTGTACAGAGTCTTTTCTTTTGTTCTTATGTGAGGCACAATCCTAGGGCTCCATTTCTTATGGGAGTCATTTTTCCCCATTAATGTATCTGCACAGTTCAATCAACTTTTAAAAAATAACACAAAAGTGATGTCTTTTCACAGTGTCTGCACCTGTCCTCATGTCTCTGACAGAGAGCTGGGCATTTTAGAAATGACACCATTAAGCCATCTACTTTGTTCAATAAAGAAAGGAGAAAACAACAAAAAAAATTTAATTATCTTCTGAGTCTATATATTGCTATGGTCTTTCTCTTAAGTTGTGAGAATGCTTGTTTGATAATTTCAAATCATTAATGTACTAGAAAATAACCACATACAAAAAAAGTGAGACTTATGTATCTTGGCTTCATTTTGTCAATTTGTCAATTGTTCATGCATTTCTTCTCATGCTGTGGTTAAATGGACTGAATTTAAATATGTTTGTTAGCGTTATTTTATCTAGCATATTTGTTTTTGTGCCTGAAGGAATGATTGGGTTTACTATTTGTCATGTTTTTGAAACTGGAACTCTTTCCTCAGACTTTAAGAAAGTCAATTTTATACATGATTGTAAAAACGTACACATCAGCCTAGAAGTCAGGGGAGCAGATTTCAGTCCAATACTCAGAATAATTTTCCAAAAGTCAGAGATGAACAATGATGAACTAATGCGGAATCCTTATCGATGGAGATTGTCTAGCACTTCATGAGCACCTGGCAGGGATTTTGTAGGCAGGAAGAAAATAAAGGAAGTAATACTTTTTCAGGGTATGCTGTTAACTACTATACAAGGTATATTCATATTTTTGTCTCATTTAATCATCACCCCCCCCCATGTTATGGTTTCCAACAGAAGATGACTCCTCCATTCAAGAGGTTCACTTTACAAAACTTGGAAATTATGAGAAACTAACATAGTTTCAGGAAAAATTAACAATTTGC